AAATGACCCTAATGGTCTCTCTGCAGTAAGAAACAGCCTGATAGAAACACCCATTTACATGCAAAGGTTTGGGCGCCCCGGTCAACTGAAATGTTCTGTGGATTTTGTAAGTGAAAAGAAGTGAACACATCCTCTACAGCAGAGGTGCTTAATCCTGTTCCTGGAGATCTTCCACCCTGGAGAGTTTAGATCCAACATACCTGGCTCTAACTGTCAGATGCTCCTGAAGGCCTTCATTACCTGAATCAGGTGTATTACATTAGGGTTGGAGCTAAACTCTACAGGGTGGTAGATCTCCAGGACCAGGATTGAGCACCACTGCTCTACAGAGAACACAAATCTACACATTTTAATGCATAATTACTGTTTATTTGCTGAATTTAACATATTGGGGAAAAAAAAACATAAAATGTGGCCTGTGCAAAAGTTATGGCACATTTCATATTTAATGTTTCAATATGTTAAACTCCACAAATAAAAAGTAATTGTGCACTGAAAATTGCAGAAGAGTCCAAATTTAAGTTTGTTTCCTGTAGAAGATGTGTTAACTTGTTTTCACTTAGAAAATCAACAAAACATGTCATTTGACCAGGGGTGTTCAAACATTTGCATATGACTATACATTTTTTGCCACATGGTGTTTTTTTGTTTTTATAAGAGCTTATTTTTTGTAGTAAAGTATTTTAGAATCTTTAAAAGGCTGTGCATGTGTTATTATTGCTCATTTAAGGCGAGATTTGTTAAGTCACTATGTGTGGAATACTTTTGGGTTAAACATTAAATATTGAATACATAAAAATATACAGAAGTTCCACCTTAAAATTAGCTCATCTTGTGTTTTAGAGCTAGTATGTGTTCAGTTATTGGTCCAGTAGCTGTAAACCCCACTGTGTGAAAAATCAGGAGACTGCATGTTATGGTTAAGAACAGTAGATGGCGCCCTTACGGCATTCAAGATAACATATATTTTGCGAGCGACTGTGTCTTTGGCGTTGACTGTTGATTGTTGTGTCACTGTTAGGCTTTCTATTCTATTAATGTATAATATTAGCTTGTATTGTATTTTGTATTTGATTGCATTGCATTAAAAAAAATCATTCCTCAGATTAATACTCTTCTGCTTCCTAAACCCCAACCTCATACTAGAGCCATTACTAGCTACTAGCAGTTTATACAGTCACTTAGGGCCCATGCGCCACCAGGGATCCTCCGTGTATGTTTGTTTAAAAATTGACTTAACATTATTTGTCCAGAGAGTTTCTTACGTTGTTGCTTTGTCAAACAATAATTATTTATAAATTATAGTTCTGTTCTTGCATTCAAAAGAATACAACTAGGGTTGGTGAGGTGTGGACCACCCCCTTCCCCAGTAGGATGTTGCTCAGAGTCCTCAAATGTTCAGAGATTACCCTGCATCACACACTGTGGATGCAGTTTGTGCTGATCACACATTGATCACCAGTCACTTTAACTTAATCATGGTGTCAAGACCTCAGGCCTGCTTCTATATCTGTGTGTCAGTTACAAGTAAATAAATGCTCATGTGATTTTAATCAAGTTGCATAAGCAAGAGAGGGATTTTTAAATTAGGTATCAAGTCTTGAGAGAGATGTTAAAAAAGTAACTTCTGAGAGATCAGACACAAATATACATTGTAAGAATGAATAAAACGCCACAAATTTTACTGTATGTCCTTATTGTTATTTATTGCCTGCCTGTCTTTCTGCATATCTGTCTATCTACTCTGTTGTGTCTAATATAAAGACACAAGGCAGTAATCACATCATATCTGATCTCTGTGATGGTGATTAATTTGCCTCACTAAATTACATGAAGGCACTGAAGGCCTGTAAAATGGCTTTATAATTACAAATCTGCAGTAATTGAAAGGCACATGGCAATTATATGTTCTGCAGATAGTAGGGTGTATTTATAGAAAGCCACCGCTCATTGTGATTACATATTTCACCCAGCTGTTGAAGCCCCATCCTCAAGTGGAGAGACTGTGATGTTCCATCTGCAGTGTGGGATGAATGTAAAGTGATCTTTTACATATTTAACCATTTATATAGGTCTGTTTATTATGAAGTATTATATCAAAGTAAGAAATGAAAGGCTAAATAAAATAGTGTATGATAGCTTACACATGTGCAAAGAAAACCAACTACTTAAAAAAAAAAATAATTAAAATCTGTCAAGTAGTTTAAAAACAATATCTAAATTACCAGCCACCAAAAAGCATGCTTTTCAATATATTAAGTTATTAGTATATTGATAGATAGAAAGGCTAAAATAACACAGAATTGGGTTGCAAATGAGTTCTGCACAATATTTCCGCACATAGGCTAATCTTCATGAAGTCCAGTACTTATTTCTACATCTGCTCTATTAAAGTACCCTGTATGTCGGCCTGGAGATGGTCAGTGTGTTGATATTTATTATTTTATGTAATTATGTAACTTCACATAACAATATGCTTTTATGGGCATACTGAGGATATCGTTCATACCTAAAGAACACTGTTCAAGTGCATGCTTCATTCCAAAAGTACTATTTGTATGGAACTAGTTCTACAAGGGGAGGTAGGGTGGTGTAATTATTGCTGGTGTTTCTCAATGATTTTAGTCCTGTCCGAATCCACGATGTCAGTAATTTGCACCCACCGGTGTTAATTAAGATTTTGATAACTTTTAACCACTATAAAACAAACCCTACAAATAACTCTGAGTTATAATAATCCTGTGTGAATTGCCTTGTAGATAAATATTCCATCATATCCTGTGAAAAGGGTGTTTTTTTTATCAAGTATAGGGGCACTCAAAGAAATATAATGGTGTTCTGTAGGGCCCAAATCAAGCTGATATATATTTTCCTGCCTCAAGTGTATGGCTCTGAATATTAAAACATGAAAAAAATAAAAGAACGTAAGTTTGGTTTTATGCAGCGATGTTGACTGTTGGGTATAAAGTCCCATGCTAATGACACACTCCATTCACTCAAGACAGCTAGGTAAATGGGTAAACTAAATTATGATTAAATTAAAGTTTGGACATTTTTTCTACATTTTTGTTGCAAAAGTAATGTGTAAACTGAATAGCCATTTATACAGAGAGTTCTTATCCCGTAAGAATCGGTCAGAACATTTTGGACACTCTGAGGCTAAATCACATTATCCCACTTTCCCATCAGAGTAGTACTATATAGTACTAATAGTCCTAAAGAGGGCATAGTTTGTCCTGTTTTTTGGATTTAGTACAATATATGAAATGCTGAATAAAACTCATTATACTGATAGTTTTAATAGTAATGTGATTAACAATTCCAACTGAGAGACCTCAGAAAAACAAAATATAATTGAACTTATTGTGTATCATGAAAATGTTGACTGTATTTATTGTATTATATCATGATGTCGCACAGGGGAGGTCTCTGCCCTAGAGAAAAGTAAGCAGCCACCTAAGGCCCCCATGAAGATACTAAACCGATATACTGTATTTGTTAATGTTAACTAACATGTTCCATAATTTTACATACACATTTTAAAAATAGCTGTTATTTGTTAGCTGCAGTGATTATTTTCAGTAATTTCAGTGCAGCCCTGGTCATGGCTATAATGGACTATCTGATGTTGTTATGTGATGACACAACTGTGTAAAGACAGATTGCTAAGAACAAGGCAATTAAGTGATAATGTTCATTATGGAGAGGAGGTTCTTCACTGTGATTTTGTTGGTGTTGAGAGAGAAAATTAAATAAGATGTAGCATCCAAGTGCAGCAGAGAAATTCAAAATGAAGGAAGAAAGCAAAAAAGTTTGTTGCTATGCTCCCAAAGCTAGTAATCAGTTAATGAGGAAAGTCCAGGTCTACATGAGTCAGGCAATACCAATAAACTAACTAATAAACTCACAGAAGACGTGACGGAATCGTAATATAAAACTCAAACTTCATGCCGCGGCTTTCTTTTTAAAACATCGTGCCACTTTCCCTGAAAATATAAACATACCTCATCCAGAAGATGAGAAATATTTAAAGCCGTCATTTGTCAAGCAGGTAGTTGGTTTTAGCATCACTCCAAAAAAGTGTTTTGCTGCCATCAAGCGGCAATGCTGCTTGCTTATCTCCGATACCACGGTCTGTCTTTGCGCATGCGCAGGCTGAGAAATCCGAAAGAAATCAGAGTAAGAGTTACATGCACTGAGAAATCTGATTACTGAGCTGAAATCCAGCTCTCTTTATCCGATTTCTTAATTGGATTTCTAGACCTTACTCCAATCTAAGAAATCAGAGTATGCTGTTCACATGACCATTTAAATAATCAGACAACAGAAATCCGATTATGATCGTATTATTGAGTGCATGTAAACGCACTCACTAAGATGATCAGTTATTAATCTCAGTTTTACTGAGCTCTGCTAAAGACTGAGTAGACTGATAAATCAATGTGATGATCCAGTTATTTACCTCAGCATTACTGAGATCTCTGGACTGATGATTAAACTAATAATCTTAGTAGTGGACATGCTTTCGAGTGATAAGTTTAGCATCGGTCTTGTACTGGACTCGTGCTTGGAGGATCATGGGAGCAGCAGTGGACTGAGGTAAGTGGTGAGAAAAAAAGTTGAAAATTCTGTAACTTCATATAAAATTTAATAAGTGATTTTTGCCATGAAACATATTAATATTAGAATTACATGAAGTAAAACTGTCCGCCAGTAACAGTGAGGAACAAAAAATCAAGATGTGCTCTGAATGTTTTCTGAATGTTATTCCTTAATGAATGGATCGGAATACACTACTGAATACATTCAGGATAACGTATTCAGTGTTCAGCCATCACTACTTTTTCAAAGTTTCTGTATTTTTGCCATACAAGCCTCGAGTTCCCTTAAATGAAGTGCACATTTGGCGCTCAAACGCTTCTTCATGAGTGGTCAGGTGTGAGGGCATCAGTTAAACAGTCTGAGGACGCTGACTGTTCAGCCGGGTGGGTGTTCAGGGCTCAGTGGAGACCCTGCCCTCACTGTTTATCGCCCCATTGACGTGCTGGAAGCGAATGGGAGCAGGAGGGCTTGTCTCTCGCCTCCAGAGGTCATTCCGCCCACAGCTGCCACTTGTTGCCAAAAAACCCTCAGCGCCTGTGGACTCGCCGCGAAAACACACCTCTATAACCTTTATATTCATATAGTTTTTTTCTAAAGCCGAGTTTAATCGCGGTCGTCACATGTCGGTGTTGAGACAGGAATACATCGCCATCTGACTTTGTCTAAAAAAGGGACACTTTTTGAACAGATTAATTGCCTTTGACGGGAGAAGCATGGTGGACAACGCGAGCATAGCAACTAAATCTGCACTGGTGAGCATCCGCTGAGCTTTTTATTTTACAGCAGCTAATTTAACATCGACTCGAAGTCTTATTTTATAGCCGGTTTGTCGGGTATTTAGCTCACCTGGGTATCTGCACGTGTTGTGTTCAGGCACAGCTACAGTACTGTGACTGTGAAATGTGCTGTTGCATTATTTTCCCCCGTGAAAATAAAACTTTTAATCACTTTTTTATCTTTTAAATCTTTCTTCAGCAGATTGTTTTCGCTCAGGTATAAGTTAGCTTTAGCACACACGACGATATTGACGGCTAACATGAACTTTTAAAGGATAACTTTTAACAGGCGGTTCGAGCTCGTTTTCCATCTGTTTTTGCCTAAATGTCCAAGTTATTCGTAAGTTTTCCAACTTTGTACAATAATACGTTTACCTATCACTGAAAATACAAACAGTCTGGTCAGTTTAGCGGTGTTTTTCTTTGACACATGTTAGCCGAGTGACTCTGAGGCAGATAACGCTCCGTCGTCAGTTAACGTATTTTATCTTATCTTGTTTACTATCTTGTTTACCTGTACGCCGTGTTCACTGTTGTCATTAGAGTAATACTCCAAAACTGAAGTCTTTTCTCTTTTTTCACCCACAGCAAGCCACGTTTTCGTCGGCCAGCAGTCTCCCCTTACTCGTCCCCTCCTCGGCCGCCTCGCACGGCCACTTCCCCGCCGCTACGCCTCAGCAGCAGCAGAGCCACGGCGGCGGCGGCGGTATGAAGTTGGAGGCGGTCATGGAGAACCTGCAGCGGCAGCAGGCTGCCCGTCTAGCCCTGGAGGAGAAGCTCCGGCAGGCCGAGAGAGACGGCGACTTCAGGGCGGCTGTGGAGACCCACATGCAGCAGCAGGCTCTCGCTTTCCGCCGCTATCACGCGTCCGTCCGCGGAGCGCTGGCCGGTGCAGGGGCGCCCAGCTCCGCAGAGAGGCACCGAGGAAGCAGCGGCGTAGGACAGATAGACCTCCGGCGGCCCCCTCAGCGCTCCGACACGGACGAGGAGCAGGACGCGGAGGAGCTGGAGGAGCAGGAAAACGGCGGCCAGGACGACGACGACGACCTCGGAGAAGGTGACAGCGCTAACGAGGGCGATTTAGAAGAGGAGATGGACGGCGTCGAAAGCGTCCTGGCGCACTACCCGCCTCGCCACAGCCTCCATTCCCCGAAAGGTGCTCTCCCGCTGGCCAGAGTGCAGCAGCCTCCGTACCTGACGGCGCCCAGGCAGCCCGGCTCACCGAGCGGCCTGGCGGCTCACACAAACCCGCAGCAGCACGAGTGGACTTACCAGGAGCAGTTCAAGCAGGTAAGAGCGCAGCCAGCATGAGACCAAGCTGTTCCATCAAAAGTAGATAAAGTAGACCAGGGGGACTCTGGCTGAGCAGTGACCAGAACTCATGTTTCTGTTACTTACATAGAGATATTAATACTGATAAACAAGGTGGATTCAGGTTTTATGGGACAAGCTTCAGCTTATTATTCATGCTATAGCATTTGTTTTCAGAAGAAAACAAAGAAACTTTGCTCTCTGCTGCACTGCTAGGAAGTCAGAAATACTGCTTTTATCCACATTCATAGAGACAAGAACAGTCCATGGATCCAGGCGTTTTAGAGCATAAAGGCAGGGACGCTTGTTTTAATTGCATTTTCAGCTTATACTCATTATTGTGTTCTTGGTAAAAGAGCAAGAATGCTGTAAATACCACCTTAATCTACTTATTGAGGCCAGAATTATTTTGACAAAAAGGGCATTATGGCACACAGTGTAGTAAAGGACAATCTGGCTAGGCGACAGTCATAAATGCTGCTTCTGTAGAGATTGACATTGAGTCATAAACAGGGTATATCAATCTATAATGGGACATCAGGTAATAAGGAGCACCTGAAACGTCTTTATTCCAATTTCAGATGATGCGATTAGTGTACTCCTTGTTAGTGAGCAAGAATAGTTATAATAGGCTGAATTATATTAAAAAGAATTTGCCTTCCCTCTGCTTTGCAGTAGCAACCATTCATCTGATATGCAAGAGTCAGAAATAATACCTTCATCCACCTACACAGACACAAGCAGGGTGGATTCAGATATTATCAATCATCAGGTAACAGGAGACACTTTAATGCTCTGGGGCAAATCCTTTGTTATTTTTGGTTAATCCCTGATTTTTGATCACTTTCTGTTCAGAGAGCCCCTCTGTCTGCTGCAGAACTCCTATGAAAAATAATATCAGAGTAATTAAAGTACATTAAAAACAAGTCTTTCCTGTTATGGCAGCACATTAAGACACTTCATGTGTTTATTTCTTTTTCAGCTGATGCTTACTGGTGTATTCTTTCTTAGTGAGAAAGAGGAAATTTAGTGGGAACTATATAAAAGACTGGGTTTGTCATTCAGGGCATATGACCTACATATCCCATATTAACTAATGAACTGTCACATGTTACTAACATATTGCCTAATGTCCTATTATACCTCAGTCCACCCTGCCTTAACCATGAATATCAGAGAATGACAGCTTGTAAACCTTATTGTTCTTACTGATTTTGCAAAAGTCAACACGCCATGAACCTTTTCTTTGCTGCATGTCTCAGAAATGTCTCAGCATCTTCCTCTGCCTCTCACCTATTCTGGTAATTCAGATCATATGGCATGAAACTGCACTGATCAGAGGGTCGTTTCAGTAAAGGAGCTAAAGAGAAAAAATGTCTTTAGGCTTTGTTTTGAGCACTATATCCCAGAAACCTGCTTCTAACAGCTTTTATTGTGACTTTACTACACTTAAAATAAACCCCAGTTAACATTACATTCTGTCATATTTAATTGAATGCAATTATATTCATTCAATAAAGATTTAATTTGATGTCTCTGTCAGTGATACTGCAGTGATTAGGCCATTTCTGTTCATATACATTCTGCAGGAGGGAATTCTGATAGGAGAAAACTAAGGTATTTGTTATGCAGTGCGAGCATGTAATGGCATGGCAGAATTATGCACTTCAATAGTGTTGGCATAGTGCTCCTATAATCTCCCCCAGAAGATAGCTCAAGAGTATTCTCTGAGGATAATTTAGATTGATATAATGAGCGCTGAGCTCTTAAGCTAACACAAATCTATATAGAGTGGGCCTGGATGGACTTTTCATTCTTTATTTATGATAGATCATTCAGAGCCATGGCTAAATGAGATATGTACATTAGGGGGCTGCATTAGTGTATGCACTGGTGTAATTTAAGGCGTGGAAATGCAATTCAAACAAGGGCTTGAGCCTTAATTGAGGGTCATAAAATGGAACATTACTATATAGAAGCCTTCTCTTCTTATTCGCACATGAAACCAGCTTTCATTGGTAATGAATGGTGAAGGCTAGATCTTGAAGTTTTACCTTGTCGACTTATGAGTAATACATTAAAACATGTTTAGGCGAAATGTTGACTATGAGGTCAAAATGTAGGACTTTTCGTATTAGTAATCAATATTTTGATCATATGATGCCAATTATTATGAAAAAAGAATATTACGTAATGGTGCTGTTGAGAATTGTCAGTTACGGTTTATTCAGGTCAGTAAAAGACTGTCAGCTACTGCAAAAACCACAACTAAAATAGAACTACTGATCTAATCACATGCTTTTCATAATCAGTCTTAAGATATTTCCACAAATCAGGTCACACACAGGAACAATGAAAGGATGCCGGTGGCATTTGGCAGACTGGCTGGAGCCAGTATACTGCCTGTTTTTGACATTGCAAAAGAAGACCACATTTAAAGTCAATAAATGCCTCTCTGAAATAAGAACAAGATGTGGCTTGGGGGGATGGGAGGATGCACTACATCGGACATTGTGACCAAATTCCTCATCTTTGAGTTAATGACAGTAAATAATGTGTGTTTATCTTTGAGAGATCAGCTACCAATTGACAATATATATATATAAACATTTTTTAAAAGAAGAAAAACAAAATTCTTCATTCACTAAATCAAGCTAATTGGTGAAAATTATAACATTTTACATTTGTTTTTGCTTTGGACTGTCCGTTTAGACCAGGTTATTGCTGTAGAGTTGTATCGTACACTGTATATTATTTGTTCTAATTTGCGTCTTTCTTTCATCTTTAGTCCATATGGGTTGCAATACATCTTAAACCATATATGCCTCCAAGAATGATAGAACAAAAGAGCAAGAAAAGACAGAAGAGGCGAAAAGGCAAAACTGGAAGCACTTGCCATATGAACGTTTGTTGTTAAAGAAAGAGCGAGGCGAGGGAAAAAAATGAGAAGTTGCGTGGAGTTTTGGCAGGAGTGCAGAAAACTAGACCTGGTGGCATTCCAGTCTGGCTCCCGCCCAAAAACCCTGGGATCTCCCTCTCTGGCAGCGCGCGTGTGTGTCGGCTCGCGGCCAAGCCATTACGAAACAAGAGCAAACTGCATACTTCAACACAATTCAGCCATACAAACGTGCATGTGTGTGTCCACAAAGAGCAGCGCGTACGGTAGACATCCTCACTTACTGACACACTTTCGCCTGTAGTCGTAGAGTTTTAGAGGATGCTGACGGCTAGATTGTTTTGTTTAGATTTGTGTTTTAAATTAATGCGCAAAAAGCAAAATGCGTAAGACTAAAGTGGTAAAATGAATGTGTTTTAATACAGTGTTAATGTAAACTCAAAAAAGCAATGCATTGAATTTGCTTGTTTGTAATGTGTACATTAGTTTCACATGAATAAAACATATTACATCAACACAGTTATTGCCGGATGTAAATAAACTGAAGACAAAATTGTGTTGATACTTTGTATTAATGTGGAAATGATTCGTTTGAATTAAATAAATTCAGTGCATCAGTTTTCTCAGTGCATATGTCTGTCTCAGCCTTTAAGTTAGTGGAAAAGGTTTTTCTGAAGATCTTTAAAACCAATTACAATCATCCTGTCAGAGCGTAAATCAGAAAAAACAGCAAGCGTTTTTTTTTTTTTTTCTTTTTTGCCTCTTTGAACCTAAAACGTTTGATTGCTCAGTCCAACTTGAACTTTGGATTCAGGGCTTGTGTTTGATCTCTCCGCTGCCCTTGTCGTCCCAATGCCATGTTTTGCAAACATGAAAAACTCTCAGAATGGTTTTTTCCCCATAACAAGCCTCTCTCAGTAGGCCATAGAGGGGGGCTGGGAGGCGATGAAGGGGCGGAGGGAAAGGCAGCATCGGTGTATGGTTTCACTACAGAAGCCTGCAGAGAGGAGGTTTGTGTTTCCTTCTTTTGTTTGCTTTGGCAGATCAGGGATAATGGTTGGCTTCTCGACTCTGAATGTGTTAACTCTAAAATCGGGGCAGTATTTGCGGCAGGATTAATGTGGGCGTGTTTGGGTTTTTTCCAGAATTAAGATGAATAAATGAATTCATTAATTAAAAACTGTGATCAGTTCGATTAGTGTCTGTAGTACATACAATGCATTGCTCAGTCTCTGCATATATATTTATATACTAGTTAATTAGTTATGTAATGTACAGTTGATACAGAAAACAACAAGATGTCAGATTCAGCTTGTGGATTTATAAGGGCTGTTTTAAAAGTATATTCAAGTGTGAGTGAATACAAGGGCACATTGCATCCAATATACAGTATTGTGCAAAAGCCAGAGTCCACTTTTCATTTGTTTAATTTCCAGTCAAAATGGCTATTCAATTATTCATTTTTGCAGCGCTAGAAAAAAAAAGCAGAGAACATATATTTAACACAAGATTACGCAAAAGCCTTGACAACCAAAACATAAAACCCTTTGCCTTCATTTTCCATTCAGTTCAGTACGATTTCTATTCTTTTCAGAAGACTTGCTTTCAGTTTTTCAAAGAAATCTGCAGGGATATTTTTCACACCTCCAAAGTTCAGTGTTAGAAGGTGGTTGTGTTTTTGCTTCTCACAATCCAAACTCATTCAATGATAGTAAGGTCTGGACTCTGGGGTGGCCAGTCCATTGTTTGGAGAACACAGGCAGCTTTGTGTTGAATATGTTTTTTGAACTCCAATTTCAGAAACTCTTGTTTTTTCCACTTATTTTTCTTTGACGTTCCCCTCCTTTAGGCACGTGGAATACTTTATGTCTAATCACTTCAAAACTCCTGAAAAAGTAGTAACTTGTACTTAATGGCCATTTTGACGGTAAATTAAATAAATAAAGTATGTGACTTTTTTCACAGTACTGTGTATAAGCATTCTTCTAAAAAGCCTTTCCTTAGTATATCCCAGCAATCAGAACAGCCAAGAAAAAACTTGACCGCAGCTGTTTTTTAACATCTAGACACCTCACCTTTCTTA